CCCTTTCCTAAAATCAATCTTCTTTGATGCGTGCGTGTCAGCGTGATGTGCCTGGCTTTTAGCAGGCAATCTTCTCCTGCAGACTTTTACAGCACCTCCCGTTTATTCTGAACTATGGGCAGATAGAAGGAGAGAGAGAGATAAATATCCAGCTCTCTGGATCTATAGAAGCTGTCCATCTATAGGCAGATGTTGTATAGGAGTCAGGATGGCCAGGTATACATCTCGCCTTAGGGAAAGCCCTCCTTCTCCAAGCATCATCCCACAGCATGGGTGCTGCAGGGGGGACAGGATGGGGCTGGACCCGCTATCCCTGGTTACTGCCGCTGTGCTCCAGGGTGGCCTTGCTTCAGCCCACCTTTTCCAGCTGTTTCCAGCGACGTGGCTCTGTAACACCCCGGCTGGATGGGATAAGGTGGGCAGAAACCCACTGTCCCCATCACAGGAAAACTGGGATCCTGGAGCGTGGGGGATGCAAAGTCACCTGGTGCTCTGGCACTGCAGGGAGAGGGGCACTGGGCAGCTGCTGGTGGGGCCAGCGTGGCTGGCGTGGGTGGCTTGTGGTCCCTGGGGTGCAGCGGGAGCAGAGGGGAAGAGCCATTTGCCCACGTCGAAAAAACCTCTGCGGGTGGGGTGGGGGTGGTTGGTGTCCTGCACCCCTGGATCACAGCTGGCACCCCGTGAGTGAACCCTTGGGTCACCCCGGCAGCCTGGCCCTTGGGGGGACCAGGGTAGCCACCAGGAGCAATGAGCCATGTCCCTGGTTGGGGATGCCATCCCAGAGGGAGCAAGAGGCAGGCAGGGAAACGGGTGGCCGGGAGCAGGATGTGGCCTGGAAAACGGGGTGCGGAAGGGAAAAGCATCACGTGTGTGTGTGTCTGTGCGCGGCGGGGCCGTGGGCTTTGCTACGCCGGGGGGTTTTAGCGAAGGTTGGCGAAGGAAGACGTGCTGGGACACCGGCGAGGTGAGGGGTGGCAGCTCATCACCCTGCAAAGCACCAGCATGAGCCAACGCCGGGCTTTGCCAGCCGTGCCGGCCGGGTGGGAGCACAGCAGGGGTGAGGGGGCTGCGGCGACTGACGCTGCTCTTCTCTCCATCTCTCTTCTCCCTCTTCCCCTGCCCAGAGATCCCCCAGTGCGCCGGCTGCAACCAGCACATCCTGGACAAGTTCATCCTCAAGGTTGCAACCGCTCCTGCCTCAAGTGCGCCGACTGCCAGATGCAGCTGTCCGACCGCTGCTTCTCCCGCGCCGGCAGCGTCTACTGCAAGGAGGACTTCTTCAAGTGAGTACCACTCGGGAGCCCACAGCCCCCTGAAAGCGCCGTCTCCCCGCTCGCGAAGCAGGCAAACGCACAACCTATTTTTAAGCGTAATTTCTCCAAAAATCTTCATCTATCTTTTTTTTATTATTATTATTATTATTATTTTTTGTTGTTGTTGTGGAAATAAAGGAAATGTTAGTGTCTTACGGCTGCCGCAGGCTGGATGCTGTTTGTTGAGATTTAACCTTCTTAAAACCCCACGTCTCCCTGATTCTCCCGTCCCTCCCCTGTGCCGGTTTGCAGCCCCCACGGCCCGGTGAGCGGCGGCGTTCGGCAGTGGCCCCGGCTCCGCTCGGAGCTAGAGGGCAGGAGAAACCCGCACAAGGCAGCGGCAGCGCTGCCTGCTCCTGCCCGAGCCCCTCGCTCGCCTCACTGGGGTTTGCTGACCCCTTATTTTTCTTTTTTTTCTCTCTTCTTTTCTTTTTTTTTTATCTTTTCTCTTTTTTTTTTTTTTAAACCTTTTTTTTCACTCCCAATAGAGTGAAAACCTCATTTGATTTCCTTGGCAGCTGCCTCCGAGCAGCGCGGTGCCCCAGCCCGGCTATTTCCCCGGTCCTGCACGTGGCAGGGCAACCCACTTCCCTTAAAAATGGACTTTTCAGTGGGGATGCTTTAATCCCTGGCTGCTGGCGAAAGCTGGGAGCTTTCCCAAGGGATGGCAGAGGTTGTTGCACCGGGGCCCGGCACAGCTGTGCCGGCGGTGAATCCCCGTGAAGTGGAGTGGTGCTGCTTTACGCTCCCGCGGGGAGGAGGGCTGGATTGTGGCCAGTGGGTGCCTTGTGCTGCCCGGGTGCAGGTGATGGAGCCCTGCCGAAAAGGACCTGCTGCACTTTGGGGACCGGGGCCACCTCCCCACGCCATCATCTCCTGCACATCCCCAGCCGTGCCGGCTCTCCCCATCACCCCATGCCGCCTTCCAGCCGGCTAAACCAACCGATGGTGATTACACCCCGCACTAATCCCCATGCAGGACTTTCCCTGCCTGCCCATCCCCGGGCTCTCAGGCCTCCTACGTGTCCGTCCGTCCCCCCCCCTCCAGCCATCAGGGCCAAAGATGCAGCCTGGATTTCTCCTTCCCAACCGGAGGAGAGTGCGACGGTCAAAGCAGCCGCTACAGCCTGGGTAATAACACTTCACTTCTGATATTTTCCAGCCTATTAATCCCCAAGTCATTTAAATAGTTGCCCAAAAAGGTGCGGGTGATCAATGTTAATTAGAGTTGAAAGATCAGCGACTTTCTTAGATGAGGTCCTGCCTGGATTATTTGGTGCCAATCAATAGCATCTCGGCGCTCGCTCGGGCACTCGCCTCACCTTTATTTCAACCGCTCATTGATTTCGGGGTAGGTAACCTGTGGAGGACGTGAGGATTTAAGGCCAACTTCAGAGGCAGGTCTGCAATGCGGGAGCTGCTTCCGAAAAGACCAATTTTTTTGATTTTTACCTTTTTTTTCCCCCTCCCTCAAATCACAGCTCTTCGTCCCCAGCCGTGGGCAGCTCTGCCCTGGGTCCGGCCATCCCCAGGGGATGCAGAAACACCCCGGGATGCCGCAAGGGGTTTAACATGGCTTTAATAGTGTAATGTGGGGGTGGAGGGTGGAAGGACAGGGGGAGGATGGGGCTGCAGAGTGTGCACCGGCTCAGCCTTGGGCACAGAGAAGCACTGTCTGTCTGTCCTATCCCTCCCTCCATCTCCCATCCCATCCATCCCTTCACCCCTCCCTCCATTCTCTCCATCACTTCATCCCTCCCTCCCTTCATCCCTCCATCCCTCCCTCCCTCCATCTCCTATCCCATCCGTCCCTCCATGTCCCTCCCTCTCCCCCCCTCCCTCCCAGCTGACTTCAGGAGAGCTGAGGTCTCCTCGGCAGATGTCTGGGGACTCTCCCTTTAGGATACAAACCCAGAAAACAAGATAAAACAGGTTTTCCCTCCTCGCCTGCTGCTTCCCAACACCCCTTTGGGCAGCTGCTGAAGTTGGGCCGGCTCCACTCATGCCCAGCGTGTCCCTAGGTGACACCTGCCTGACTGGGGGACAGTCTGAGGGATGCAACTTTGGTGGCCATGCCTTGGTTTTGCAGAAGGCGTGAGGGCATGGGCAGCCGTGGGGCTCACGGGGTGATTTTTGCATGACTGGGGGACGTTCAGCCCTCGGCGGGGCAGCGAGAGGTCCCCGGGGTGGCCGTACCCCCTGGGCAACCCCGAATGCCACCGCCTGTCCCTGCAGCCTTGGGGCTGGGGACCCAAAAGCTTGGGTTTTCCTGGCCTGCCTCCTTCGAAGCAGAGGGGTCTATTTAAGGCGTAGGGGACAGATTTATTCTGATGGCTTTGCTGCCTGAGCTGCTGCTGCAACGCCAGGACATCTCCGTGGGGTCCCGGCACACCGCTGATGGGGCGCTTAGCGGTGCTGTGGGGAGACCCCGCAGAGCCCTCGCGGTGCCGGTGGGGATCTGCCCCACGTCAGTCCCAAAGCCCACAGCATCTGTTGCGGAAAACACCGGTGGAATGTCCACTTATTTTTGACTTTCTCCTCCATGCCACCACCTCATGGCACGTGTTGCCCTCGTGCTGTTACTTCACTCGAGGCCAGGTGTTACCCAGGTGTTACCCAGGTGTTACCCAGGTGTTATCCAGGTGTTATCCTTCATGTCTATGTGGGGGCAACCGCACGTGGCCACGGCCTGGGCTGCACCCACACAAGAGGACCTGGCTCCTGGGCGCATCTGGAGCGATGGGTGCGCCAGGAGCTCTGCAGCAGAGTGCCTGCCGTCTGCGGGGGGTGCCGGGCCAGTCGTACGCTCCTTGCACGCTCCTTTGCATGCCCCTTGCACACTTCTTGCACCGTTCTCGCCTGTTCCTCGCATGCTGCTTCCACGCTCCTTGCGTGCTCCTGCCACACTCCTCGCATGCACCTTCTGTACTTCTTGCACCATCCTCACATGGTCCTTGTATGCTTCTGCCACACTTCTTGCACGCTTCTTGCACACTTCTTGCATGCACCATCCTTACATGGTTCTTGCATGCCCTTTCCACACTTCTTGCACGCTCCTTGCATGCTGCTTCCACACTCCTTGCATGCTCACTCCCCACTTCTTGTACAATTCTTACAGGGTCCTTGCATGCTTTTCCCACACTTCTTGCGTGCTCCTTGCACACTTCTTGCACCATTCTTGCATGCACCTTCCACACATCTTGGTCCCATTCTGGCACGCTCCTTGCATGCTGCTTCCACGCTCCTTGCATGCTCACTCCACACTACTTGCACAATTCTTACAGGACCCTTGCATGCTTCTTCCACACTTCTTGCATGCTTCTTGCACACTTCTTGCACCATTCTTGCATGCACCTTCCACACATCTTGGTCCCATTCTGGCACGCTCCTTGCATGCTGCTTCCACGCTCCTTGCATGCTCACTCCCCACTTCTTGCACAATTCTTACAGGGCCCTTGCATACTTCTTCCACGTTTCTGCCACGCTCCTTGCACACTCCTCGCAGCCGTGCTGGCAAGCTTGCTCGGGCCCACCTAGCCCAAGCTGGCCCACCCGACGCACCCGTCGGGCTGTCGTTACGGTGCAAGAGCCCCATCATTCTGCATTAATCTGGGATTCATCATGCTAGCGGGGCGGTGTAATTAATTTATTTGGTATTAATGTGGATGAAATATGTACTGCCTTTGCAGGGGAAAATCAGGCAGCCTATAAGCATTAGTTAAAAGAACCATTAAAATCAAACCTTCCTCGGCTCCATTAGGCTGGTCTCTCACACTGAAGAAGATAAACCCCTGCCGTGTGAAGTGTCATGCATAATTAGGTTGATTGCTGGTTTAAACTCTGCCCTGTCTCCCAGTCCCCACCCAGCCTCCGGCGAAGCCCACCTCGCCGAGAAGCTCAGGGTGGCCCTCTTCTCCTTGCAGGCGTTTTGGGACCAAATGCACGGCGTGCCAGCAGGGCATCCCTCCCACCCAGGTGGTCCGCAAAGCTCAGGACTTCGTCTACCACCTCCACTGCTTCGCCTGCATCATCTGCAGCCGGCAGCTGGCCACCGGCGACGAGTTCTACCTGATGGAGGACGGGCGGCTGGTCTGCAAGGAGGACTACGAGACTGCCAAGCAGAACGGTAGGCAGCCCGAAACGGATACGAGGTGGGACATCACACTGAGGGGTGGCCACGGGTCATGTCACCGGCACTGTACCTGTGGGAAGGGGTCATAGAGTCATAGAATTGCTGAGGTTGGAAGGGACCTTGAAGATCATCAAGTCCAGCCATCAACCTACCCTGACAATACCACTTCTAAACCATGTCCCTAAGTACCACGTCTACCCCTTTTTTCAAACACCTCCAGGGATGGCGAATCCACCACCTCCCTGGGCAGCCTATTCCGATGTTTAATAACCCTTTCAGTGAAAAAATGTTTCCTAATATCCAATCTAAACCTCTCCTGACATAACTTGAATCCATTTCCTCTCGTCCTATCATTTTTCACCAGGGAGAAGAGGTCAGCCCTCACCTCTCTGCAACCTCCTTTCAGGTAGTTGAGGAGGCTGAGGGGAGACTATATTACCTTCTACTTCTCCAGGCTAAACAACCCCAGTTCCCTCAGTCATTCCTCATAAGACTTGTCCTTCAGACCCCTCACCAGCTTTGTAGCCCTTCTCTGGACACGGGCTCTGGCTGCAGGCTCTGGGGCAGCTGGTTTTGGGGAGCTTTTCCCCAGGGTGTGGGCTGGTGTTTTGGGGTTGCTCAGGCTGTTGTGGTCGGGGCTGGTACCGGCTCCTTCGTTTGCAGATGACTCCGAGGCGGGTGCTAAGCGGCCCCGGACCACCATCACGGCCAAGCAGCTGGAGACACTGAAGAACGCCTACAAAAACTCCCCCAAGCCCGCCCGGCACGTGCGGGAACAGCTCTCCTCCGAGACGGGGCTGGACATGAGGGTGGTACAGGTGAGTCCATGGGGATGCCCCTCTCCACCCTGCCCCTAGTGAAGGGGGACACAGGGGTCCCAATGGGGTGCCGGGGTGCTGCGTTTCAGGGGTGCCCAGGAGCTGGTTACAGGGATGAGAGGCTTCAGGGGATGCAGAGGTGCCAGGGGTATTGGGGTGGCGTGGGTGCCCGGGAGCTGGGTTGCAAGGATTCTGGGGTGCTGAGTTGCATGGATGTGCGTGAGCTGGGCTGCAGGGGTGCTGGGTTCCACACATGCTGGCATGGGGGGCTGCAGGGATGCTGGGTGGCAGAAGTGCAGGGATGCTGGCATGCTGGGATGTAGGGGTGCCGGGATGCTGGGGTGCCGGGATGCTGGGGTGCGGGGATGCTGGGTTGCAGGGGTGCTGGTTGGCAGAGGTGCAGGGATGCCGGCATGCTGAGATAAAGGGGTGCCGACGTGCCGGGATGCGTGGGTGCTGGTATTCTGGGCGGCAGAGGTGCTGGCATGCAGGGGTGCCATGGTGCCGTGGTGCCATCGATATCCCCATTCCCCCCCAGGTGTGGTTCCAGAACCGGCGGGGCCAGGAGA